ATAAATGCAAAGATTGGGCTCACGAAGCTTGTGTTGATATTGATTCATCAAATGTTAATTACTGGAACGCTTAGATCATTGTTAAGAAGTATGTCTGGGATTACCCGTCGTTTTTTCTTTTGCCTAAAATTAGAGACTAACATTATCGCATTGTTACTATTACAATTATTGAGAAATGTTATTTTTTTTTAATTAAAATGACTGAAGAAGTTCTAAAGTCAAACTTAAGTGTGAAAATAAACGTTAAAATCTGTTATTTATATATTTTTTGTGAGTTTTAATTATAGTTTTAAAGGCTGGAAAGAAAACTAGTTTTTTTCAATTTTTCCGTGGATTTTTTCGGTTTCTTTCCTAAGGGATAGAAAAATTCAACAGAAAATTTCACGTACATATTCGTAAAACCTATCACATTTCACATTTGCAACATTTTGATACACTTTTCGAAATTTTAAAATTTTATAACAAGCATATATTTATTGCTGATAATGTTAAATACAAAATAAATAAAAAGCAAATTACACAAGAATAAATAAAAAAACAGGGTTAATGTATTTTTCAAATAAAACGTATGGTTCTTGACAATTATCATTAATAATCAAAACTCTTTAAAAATACTTAATATAAATATCAGTTTAAATTAATCTTTACACTAGTTGTTAAGATTGCGTTTTCTAAAACAGTTTATTTAATAAATAATTCTCACCTCAAGGAATATAGTATTTAAATGTAAACATAAATATTAACTTATTATTAATTTCAGCGTTTTTACGAGGTATCTTATTTTAATAATGCTATAAAATACAAGTTATACGAATTATAAGCTTATATTTCACTTAAACAAAAAAATTACACATTTGAGCGAGAAAATTAAAATAAATCACATAAAGTCACCTACATTACTTTCTGAATTCCATTTCATTTTTAATATGATAAAAATTATTAAAAATTATGCAGTATATCGTTTACTTTAGCAATTTTTCGCAAAAAAACCAATTTTTCGAAAAGAAACCGAAATTTTTCTGTTTTTTTTTTAGCAATTTGAGAAAAGCAGTTTTTTTTAAACCATAATTTTAATCAAGGGGCTACCTAAACTTCCCTTATATGTATATTTATGTATTATATTGTGTGTGTGTGTGTGTGTGTGTGTGCGTGTGTGTGTGTGGTGCGTGTGTGTGCGTGTGTGTGTGTGGTGCGTGTGTGTGGTGCGTGTGTGCGTGTGTGTGTGTGTGTTATATTACATATTCATTCTAGAATTATTCTGTATTATTAAACAGATAGATAATCCTCAAGTTTACATTAAAATAGATTACATTGTTTTGTTCAATTTTGAATTACATTTTCGAACGGTTCTCGCCACACATCGATACACATTACCAAACGTTACCATCTGCCATCCAAGTGCCGTCACGTGGACGACGGGGAGAATGCCAAAAGTATTGATTGCGCCTGGTTTTGTTCACGGATTTACATAGCAGACACATCTAATGATGTGGCCACCACATCATCGTGGTCGTGTGCGCGTAAACGTTTGTTACAACGCAGTACGATAAGTACAAAAAGAATCATCAGATATTGCGCCCAGATAGCACGCGATATTGCATTTCGACTGGTTTGTTTGTTAAATAACAAATACGGTAAATTCGATGCGTTAAAACAGTTGACCAGCTTGCCACTAAGCGATCTAATTGTTGCATAAAAATAATTGAAATACAGCAACGTGAAATCCTCTTGCTTACTGCAGCCTGTTTGCTGTTATGATGTCGCATAAATCGCGAACGATATTCATATATAACACCAGTAAGCATATAATGCATCCGTGCATTATCGCATCACGGGAAATTGGCCTAGATAATGGGACAATTGATGTATATCGACAGATATCGATTATAGGCACATACCGATGGCAATGATGAGCGATAATACTTGTTATTGTCGCCGATGACTTTAACCGCAGAGAGAGAGAGAGAGAGAGAAAGAGAGAGAGAGAGAGAGAGAGAGAGAGAGAGAGAGGATAGTTTTAACTAACTTTTAGTACCTATTTTCAATATACATTTTTTGATTTCATCATAAGTATGTTATATACAACCTTAATAAATAAACAAATTCGTACTAAACATACTTTGAAATATCAAGTATTGACGATTTAAAATCTAGCTTGTAAAATCTAGCTAAACAGAGAGAAATCAAAAGTAATAAATATATTATAAGAGAATTCAAAAGTTATAAATATATTAGTAATAAATTATTTATAACTGATTCCTGTTTATAATCTTTTTACATAATATTTTTTATGCAACATATGATTTCATAGAAACATTTATGTTATCTGAAGTAGAGGTAATATTTATTACTATATCTAAATGTAAAGATAATAACTTCAACCGTGTTAATTTTGTTCGCAAAACGAGATTAGAATATTGGATACAAGGCTATCTTTACACTAAAGCGATCTTCCGTTATTGCTGCGCGTGAGTAATTGGTACATGTTGACACATATCAATTTCCGTTACGTATACATACATACATACGTCTAATCCTTTGTGCTCCTAACATTAATGGAAATTTTTCAGACATAGAGAGGAAATATGTTATTAAATGATAAAAAATTATAAATAAATTAGAAATTATCACATCTTCTTATACTATAATATAATTATATAAACATATAAACATCGCAAGTATATGTATAATTACGATAGATCAAACTGATTGTGAGCAATATGATCTACAATAACTTAAACTTGAAAATTTAAAATTTCAAAAAATTGACTCAATTTTTACAAGACGAAATATTTTCTATCAACAACAGTGATTACCCGACTGAGAACATCTCGATAGCGATGTACGTATCGTGCCTTCCGAGAAAATTGATGGTAAAATTTAGTATAATTCGATTCTGATTCGCACAGGAAAACGAATCAGAAAAGTTTTTAAAATTGTGTAGTGAAAACAATAAGGTAAATGAGTATGCAAGATCAAAAATAACATCCGTATTGTGCAAGCACTCAAATTTGAACACTAAAAAATTACGACGATAATAAAATAGAAAATAATAATAATAATAATAATTCAAAACCCTTGCAGTATTATACAAAATTAATTATTAAAGCTATTAGAAGTGATTTATTTGCTTTAACGTAAGATGTATAACGTTTTTATATTCGGCTATGTGTAACATTAACTGTACTATTTTTGTTAAAGTTTATTTTATTACATATTGTTAGATATATGAATATCTAATCTATAGTTGCGTAGATTTAAACAATTTAAACAATTTAAACAATTGGAATTGAATCCTCTCAAGCTGTTCTGGAAATTACAAATATTAAAATCGCGCAAATGTTACTCTCCCTGATTTAACGGGCAAAGAAAATATGTTTGAGGAATGAGCTCATCGATTTGACTTGTAAAATGTACAACGATGTTTCATATTCTACTCAAAACTTGTTATTTTGTGATCGGTTTTGTGTTCGTGCATTCAGCTTAATTATTTGTTAATATCCGCGATGCACTCTATTGCACTACCGTTTTTAATAAAATTCGAACAAGTGCTCAGCGAATTAAATTATGGAATTTAACATACTCGCAATATATTTTTCTAATGCCTTGTAAATTGCAACACATGACTGGAAATTCACAATATTTACCCTTTGTTGCCGCATTTTTGATTATTGCGTTACTATTCTGCAAAATGCTTTTACTAATGAATAAAGATATATACACATAAACAGATTTAAAATTATATTTATACCAAATAATGATAAAAAGAAAATCATGAATTATAAATTCAAAATAATAAAACAATTGTGTACTATAGAAATTTTTTCTATATTATATGCACCTAATACCAATAAATTAGGAAAATATATTCATCAGCATTGCGTTATGTTATTATGAATATTAATTGCAACAAATCTGATAGGATAGAGACAAATTCGTTTTGCTTTCGATGATCAATCGTGTTTCGATCCAATCAATGAGCCATATTAGATACGTTCGAGTGCTCCTTAACGATGAGAAGGGAATCTCATGCACCGACATGCAGAAATATCGAAGCGCACGATCCATGGCGAGATCCATGCTCTTGGTTGCGGGAAAGCGGCGGTGACGATGCAAATAGGCCCTTTCATGTCCTTTCACAGTCGAGGTGCTTAAACTAACGTGAAAGTGCATTGAGCTTGAGCGTTAGGCGCATTAATAATTTTGGGATCGAAGCTCGAAGCTGTCGAGACGCGCCGGCACCGCAAGGCCGATGCAACGCGTCGTTAAACGCAAGGAGGTCCGTGCTGTTACACAGGCGTGTGTACAGCAGAATATTCTAAAGATATAAGCACGTCTAGAAAATGTACTTCTCTTGCCATTATAAATAAATTGAAGAACGTCAATTAAAATTGTAAAATAATGTATAAATTTCGCTTTTAAATAATTTTAAATAAATTTTCTTTCAGAAAAAGTGTATATATATATATATAGGTATATATATATATATATATATATATATCACTGAAAAAAGTAATCTTGCAATTATAGGAAGAATTATTTACGAAAAATTAGCTAAAGCGGATAAGTGATTATAGTAAGCACTGCAATACCACATATGTTTTATATTTAATCAATATAGATAACAGACAGAAATTATATCTGAACTATTTGTCAAATTTAGCAAGAAAGTTTCTTTATAACGTTTAATCAGTCCAGACTCCAATCCAAACTCCAATCATATTTGGTTATGAGATTTATATTTTCTTGCATATATTCTTAGAATATTACTACTATAAATTCTACGTATGACAAACAATCTTTTAGTAGATACAAAAAATAGCGATATAATTTAAGTGTAATATTTAGAATTCTAGCTGGAACAGCGAAACATTTCCCTGAGTGATATATACATATTATATTTGTATAAACTTTAAATAAATATTTATTCTAATATTTTAACGCAAAAACATAAACATTAATATAATTTATTTATAATATATGATAAAAGTATAACTTACTGTAGATGCAGCTGTGTTTCTTAAGTGTATGTTTGGCAGACTGGTCGGCCTTACACGTTCGTTGTGGGAATGTGAACAGCTCGTTGAGTGTATGATCTTACGACTATTGGAAGACGGATTGACATCAGATTCCAATTCTATATCAAATCGACTTTCTTGATAATTCATAGTAGATTTATTACGCGCAGCAATGAATAATTTGTAGTTCATCTGTAACATAATTTGTAACTATGTAATACATGTGCGTCTTTACGATATACCTATTAGAAATTATATGGTTTTAGCGAGGAATATTGTTAGAGTTGCCATCATTTGGGATCATATTTTTTCTTAAAAAAGTTGATGAACTATGATGACTTCATGGCGATTAACATCAGCAAATCAGTTTTCAGGTATCCATTTAATAACAATTCAGACACAAGTTAACGTGATACATATATACAGTTGCGCGAGAAGTCCATTTAATCTTACATAATTGCCTCAAATTCAATTAGTCACCGTATCCGAAGACAGTGTCGCTCAATTTACCATGAGATGGGCGTTGAGCTTATCGCGCGACATGACATTTGCAATGGGACTAGTGAGTATGGCCCGCAATTATGTGTTGCGTGCGGAGTACTTGCATACGAATTAATGCGTGCATTGCACGTGGATATTTCTGACGATTCTACGAGATTCTACATTTACTTGATCGAGCATATAATAATACTATGATTGACAAATATATTTTAATTGGCAATTAATGTTTCATATGATCGAATCTTGCCACGCGTATTTTTACATAATTTATGACAGAATTTCCATATGCCGTGCGTATACGTTATACATGTGCAAATAGATAACTTTTCCTTCGTGATGAATAAGAAAGGCGCTGTGTACGACGATCAATGTAAATAATGCACGATACGTCGCTGCAACGATGAGTAACTTCGATAAATTGCCGTCGCCTGGGGTTGTCACAATTAAACACGAAACACGAAGAAACAATTTTACTCACAACGATGTAGTTAATGACACGTAAGTAGTTGTTACATTGCCATGGTTATTAAAATTCTAATATTAAGAAAAACATCAACATAAGATATCAAAATAATTTATATGGTTAGATTATTTATGATGGCACGGGTGTATGGAAAAGATTAGGTATATACATTTTTTATTAGAAATACAACTTTTCCATTCTATAAATTTCGGTTCAGTATAACATATTTTTTCCATTGTTGCAATTGTATAATGATCAGCATTAGAATACATAATAAAAACGGATTTTATTGAAATGACAAAAAATTATTAATCATTGAGGATCGGCGATCCCATTTACGGTCATCCCCTTTTAGTCTGTAAATTGTTCGCTTGATTTCTATCAAATTTGGGATAATTTGATAATGCTCTATTAGAATCTGGGGTCGAAAATTTAAAAAAATTAGAATGGTGGATTAATATAGCGCACAGAATTTAAAAAGGGTAAATATACCAATGAAGGGAGACTGCTCTAATGATCTTAACCTTTACATGTTACATTTGTTAAGGTCATGATTCTAAGTGACCTTCAAGTGGTTTTAGCCGTCGCTCGTTATTCGTTAAAAAGTTATTAAAATTGAATACCTTTAAATTTTTGCCTTACTAAATAGATGAGTCTACAATATACTAAAAATAATAGAAACAGAAAAGATTAGACAGACCTCTACGCAAGGTAGAAAATATATTAAATTGAATATTTATTAAATCTTTGCCTTACTAAACAAGTAGAAACATTAAAACACGTATTTTCTGTTTCTACAATCAATATTAGCTATGTGATAGCTCCGCTCTTACCCTCTGTACCCCCCCCCACCCCCCGCCTGCGCCCACTACCTACGGTGGGGGGGGGCTTTGCCCTCCAACCCCCCATTGGTATTATTTAATTTTGATACTTTTTTTGTTGATAATTTTTTAATAACGAGCGGCAGCTAAAACCTCTTAATAGTCACTCAGGGTCATGACCTTGATAACATATGTACAGGTCAAGATCATTGGAGCAGCCTCCCTTCATCGGTATATTTACCAATTTTTGAAAAATGCCATATTAAATCCACTATTTTTAATTTGATAATTCTGAAGCCAGAATTGATTTCAGTGATCTAGGAAACCCTTACAAATCAAGGTCTTTCGTAAATTATTTTATTAGAAAGCTCCAATTCATACAAACTTTAACATGTTTTATTAGCTAAAATAGAAAAAAAATATTATATACATAAATATAGATCAAAATGTTTTATTAAAAAATTATAACAAAAATATAATATCAATAAGAAACAATTTTTCACTTAAATTTGTATTTCAAAATGTTGCATTCAAAATTGCCAATATTAATACAAAGGCATTGATGTAATATCAAATTTATCACTGGTGAGGTTACATTTACGAAAAGTGTTTCCAATTATTGTAACACTAGAACAAAATAAAGCGCGCGCTATTTATTCACTACTCCTGAAACACACACATACACACGCACGAGCGCACAAATACAAATATCATATTAAATATCGCATTACTTTTATATATCTCTTACATATATCTCATGTCCTATCTAAAAAAAGGCATGTTAAGTCGATAACTCCCATTTCTCGTCTTACTTTTTTCTTTCAGGTATCAGTTTTTGTCTAACAAAATATTATAATACTGCTAACAA